ACTTTTTTAAAAGAGACAGTAGAAATGGAAGAAAATGATAAAATTTAAGAAGAACAATTTCTAAAACTTATCCCAAAATCTTTGAAAGAAGTACATTGGTGTTTTCAACTAAGTTATTTTGAAGAATTGAGATCATTCTAGAAAAGCACACTCTTGGCCACATGAGCAGTTAAAATTAATACAACATGGCTATGATAATGACATGTTATTATATTAATTACAATGAAAATATATTGTTCGAGAAAATATTTTCTCTAGGAGAGGTCAGGTCATTTGTAAAAATATTCAAGTTTGTAATGAGACTACATAACTTCTTATGTTTTTCTCTTTGGGAGTCATAAAATCTTAAGAAATGAGTTCTTAATTACAAATAGATTCATATGTACACATATGAAATCAATTTCCTTTATGCCTTTAGTGACTAGCAGATGAGAATAAAATCTAATAAAACTATGGTTATGCTTTAAAGTATTGGCAATAGTTTTAATAAAAGAGACTTCATTTATGTCTTCGATATATGTATATTGTTAATTTATTATCTCTAAAGAACACAGAAATTCATGTCAGTCCACTGTAGTGGGAGCTGAGACACAGGGAGTATAAACTGCATCCAGACAGTTGCTTCAGTCAAGTATTTTTAGATAGTTGCCTTAGTCACATGATCCTTGTCTGGACAGTATTAACTTCCTTTGCTGATATATATTCTAAATGATACATTGTGGGAACATAATCATGCCTAACCCATCAGTGAAACTTTATCCAAACATATCAGTTTGAAAATTGGTAAGGAAGATGCTGGATAATAAAAAGTAGATACATTTTGGTTCCTAGTGAACTAAGTAATGTTTCTGTTTCTGTTTGTGTTTTACAAATTATTCACAATAATTCTTTGGAGAATTAGTTTACCTAAACTTTAAAGAACACACATTTCCAATTATCAATAACATTTATGTAGCATAGAAAAAGATTGTATATACATTTTTGCATTGATCCTTCCAGAAATCTGACAAAGTAGTCGTTCTTATGTCCATTTGGACAGAAAACAATTGTGGTATTTAGGGAAACCAAGTAATATATCAAGGTCATATATGCAGCTGCTTTTTTTCCCCTTGTTGGCCACATAATGTCATTTTGGAGTTGTGAGCCATGGGGTAACATCGTCAGGTTTGAAGTATAGATGTATTTTTCTGGCAGAAATGTAAATAGTCGATTTGTGAGATCCAAGACTGGAGGCAGGGCTGTGTATCACCCTTGTCTCCTACCTTTCCATCATAGCCCATGTCCCATGCATCAGGAAAGCTGTTAGCTGTAATTTGAACATGTATCAGCAAGCCAACTTACTTATCAAGGCCACTGCCTCTATCTTCCTGGCTTCAGCCTGTCAACTCCTTCCTTCATGTACAGTGGCCTCCTAATTTATTCACATAAAGCTCCAAAATGAATATATTAACTTACTAATCTTACGACTGTAGCAAGTACTAACAGTTGAGTAGGAAATTTACTTAATAGGCAGCTTGAAAGAAAATCCAACTCCATGCAGTACATTTCTGTTGCAAATCATTTCTGTTGCAAAATTACTCCATTGATTCTTGTTTCTTAGTGGTCATGCCAGAACAAAGTTGCTATTCTGAGTTTGTTTTTTCCCTTTTAAAATACTTTTATTCAATTTATGAATTTGTTTCAGTTTTTAATATAATACCCTGACAAATGTTATATAGAAATTCCAAACTAAAAGTAAACGAACATTGCCATATTTTCAACTGTTTCTTTTTATTACTGCTCTGAAGAAGAAAACAATTCTTCCTGAACAAATTCCTGTTACCATGAAGGCAAAGATCATGTTTTAAAAATAAATACTGACACTGTTTGAAGAAAGCTTCTAGGATTGTTGTTCAGGCTCATGCATTTTTAAAAAAGGAAAGTGTAAGAGGGGGAAAAAAAAACAAAAAACAAAAAACAAAGGAAAGGCTGGGCACAGTGACTCACGCCTGTAATCCCATCATTTTGGGAGGCTGAGATGGGCAGATTGCTCGAGGTCAGGAGTTTGAGACCCGCCTGGCCAACATGGTGAAATTCCATTTCTACTAAAATACAAAAATTAGCTGAGTTTGGTGGTGGGCATCCATAATCCCAGCTACTTGGGAGGCTGAGGCAGGAGAATTGCTTAAACCCAGGAGGCAGAGGCTGCAGTGAGCCGAGATCATGCCATTGCACTCCAGCCTGTGCGACAGAGTGAGACTCCATCTGAGGAAAAAAAAAAAAAAAAAGGGAAGAGGAAAGAAGGAAAAAGAAGAGACGGATGAATGAAAATGGAAAATAGAGGACAGGGAAAAATAAGTGAAAGCTCACCTTACTACATGAGTGCCCTATTTTCTACACACAGTAAAGCTAATGAATTGTTAGTCTTGCTTTTTAAACTTGGAAAACTTAAGTCACTTTTTGTATTGACATTTTCCTGATTTCAAAAAAAGGTACCCAAATTAAGAAGCTAAGAGGAAAATGTATTTCCAGTTTATGAAATGTGAAGTTGAGCAATCATTTCATATTATAGGATCTGCGTTCACGTAAGTGCATGTAGATGCTCTTAGTGTAGATGTAGGTTTGGGACCTAATAAAGTTCCCTCCTCTGGTTTTAGAAACAGGTTATGATCACAAAATCATGACACAACTGACAACTTCAACAATCATCCTCCTTTGTTTGGAGCCCATTGCAAAACCTTTTCATAAAATTGTACCCATACATATAATATGATGCTTGCAAATCTGAAAAATCCCTTTGTGGACAAACTAACCCAACTTGCAAAGCTTCCTACCTGAAGTTTCCTCTCAGTAATCCTTAACAGGACCAAACATCCCTAATTGTATAAACTAAGGAAAATTAGACTAGCAAGACTGCACATCGACCCCAGAATCATTTCTAAAGTTGCCAAATATGTTTTTGGCTTTGTATCTATAGAAAATCTCTTACTCTTGGGATCTCATTACCTGAGTCCCAGGACACTTCAAACCTCTCTGAAAAGCCAAATTGCCTTACCGTGGGCCCACCGAGAATTCCTGTCCCTCTTCAATATTTGTCTTACCTTTGATTCCTGTTTTATTCAACTTTAATGAATCCTACTGTCTCTTCTTGGACCCACTATCCACACCTGTGGCGTCTGGGAACATTAAATGTGGTATAAAAGTGTAAAATTTTTATTTATATAAAAACAGAAGACTTGCGATTCAGCAGCTGTGCAGTGTTTCTCTAGCAACTGTGTGCTCTTTTGCATTTGGTAAAGTATAAACTTCTAGTTTGTTCTGCTGTCATGGAACATGGCCCCAGTAAACCTTCCTGAGGTCAGCAACTTGAACCTTCCACTGTCTAGGTCCCATGCTTGGCATAGTGTGGATAATAATATTAAGTAATATATGGTTTTGGCTTCACTGAGCCATGTCAGAACATTCACAAATACCATACAAATTCCTGCTTCTCACTGCCCCTTTTCCAGTATGCATAGATGCAAGAAAGCAGTTTCATGGCCAGGTGCTCTTTGTTTCAGCTTCCTTTGTCTCTCTCAAGGCTGCGTGGCAAATGTATGATTTGTTCAATCCTTTAAAAAAATTGAGTGCTAAGTGCCAGGCATTATGAATGTATGTATGCTTGGAAGAGAGGGAGAGCAATGTTATTATCTGATTCACATTTTGAAAAGATCACTCTGGTTGCTTTGTAGAAAGTGGTAAGGGATGCTGAAGAGGGGTGCTGATGTATCTGGACAAGTGAAACAATGAGTAATGAGTTTGAAAGGAATCTTAATGGTCTAAGAAATAAATGTAAGGTATTAGTTTGAAAAAAGGTCGTGCTGATGAATTGCATGTGCAAGGGGATGGGAAAAGAAGGGGAGATTTCTTGATTCATGGGTAGGTGGACTTGCATTTAGTTAGGAACACTGGAAGAGGAATGACTCATGGGCAAAATCATGGGTTTGGAAATATTATGTTTGAGACTCATTTAAGATACACAATGGAGATGTCAAATAGGCAACTGAATATATTCAATATGAGCCTTGATCTGGATAATTCTTTAGAGGAGTTAAACACTGGAATTTTTATAGAATATAAATGGTATTTAATCTAGTTTTTGACAGCATCTAGGATAAAATATAGATTAGGAAGAGAATGGGTTCCAGGACCGAGCCCAGAGATTCCTCAGGTAAAGCAAAGAAAGAGAAGGTAGGACTAAGAGACTGAAGAGTAAACTGTGAGATTGCTACAATACTAGGAGACTGTCCTATTTCAGAAGCCAATAGATACATGCATTTTAAGAGTAACAGAGTGGCCAGTTACATTGAAGGCTGTTTAAAGTTGAGAAAGATGCTTGGAATGTGTCCTTTGGATTTGGCAACATGGAAGTTGCCAGTAACCAAAACGCCAGAGAAGGTTTATCAGAGTGGCTGCTGCTGCAGAAGCCAAAGTTGGAGTGATCTGAGTTGCTGATGGGAAGTGCAGAAGTAGAGTGTCTGTTGACCTATCTTTTGAGAAGTTTAGCTAAGGGCAGCAGAGAAATACCGTGGTTGATGGAAGGGATATGGGGTGAAGGAAGTTGTTGTGCCTTAAAAACGACATCTTAGAGCTGGGTGTCTTGGCATGCACCTGCAGCCCCAGCTACTCCGGAGGCTGAAGTGGGAGGATCGCTTGAGCCCAGGAGTTCAAGTCCAGCCTGGATGGTATAAGGAGACCTGACTGAAAACACACACACACACATACCTTAGAGTGGCATTTATCAAACTGCAGTTTGTGAACCATAATTCGTCTTAAAATATTTGTATTGGGTTGCAATAATCATTTAAAACATTAATTGGAGTAAAAGAGAAAATAGGGTACATGCCATGTGGTAAAGGTAAGAATTTTATTTTTGTGGAATATATTATTATGAAAAATTTACAAATAGTTACGTATCTACACACATATACTGGTGTATACTGGATTATAATATAAAATGTATTTCTTCACATGAATTACAGTTTTAAAATTTGAAGGCCATCAAACTACGGAATGTTTGCCTGCTGCTAGGGATAATCTGGTGAGGAGAGAGACTGATGATACAAGAGAGTGGGAAAACCAAAGGTGCAAAGCCCTTGAGCAGCATGAAGAACTTTTCACACAATCTTCTGTCTTTTCTCATTTATTTACCACGTGACTTCCAGATAGTCATCATCAATCTGAGCGAAATCCCATGTTTCTGCAGGTATGTGTGGCCGTCCTGATGCTTTTGTCAACAACAATGATTTGACATCGGCACTGGGCTTTGGTTTAAATTGTTTCCTCTCTCCTTTTTTCTAAATGTGCATGTTAAAGTTCTAACCCCCGGAACCTCGAAATATGACTATATTTGGAGATAAGGTCTTAAAAAGGTAATTATGTTAAAATGAGGACATTAAGGTGGGCCCTAATCCAGTGTGATCGGAGCCCTTATGAGAAGTCTGGACACAGGCTGGCACAGAAGAAAGACCATGGGAAGATGCTGGGAGATGATGGCCATCTATGAGACAAGGAGTTTTCAGAAGAAACCCGCTCTGCCGACAACTTGATCTTGGACTTCTAGCCTCCAGCATTGTTGAGAAAATGAATTGCGGTTGTTTAATCCACTAAGTCTGTGGTATTTTCTTATGGCAGCCCTAGCAAATGAGTACATACTGTCATGCTTGTTACTTGATTTGGCCTTTGATTGTTACAACAGCCTGAGGTTTGGAGGACCAGAATTACGAATGCCAGTTTACAGATGAGAACACTGAGGTGAAGAGATAAATGACTGACCCAAGGTCAGGAATCAAAATAGCTAATAAATGATACACAAAGTGTCATAGATTTTTTCCAAGTGTTGTTTCCTTGGCAAAGGAAAAATTTTTTCCAAGTGTTGTTTCCTTGGTGGCAGGCCTTGTAGTCATGCCCTGCCTGTAGTGGCCGATATGACTCTATGCTGGTCCATTAATTAGAGCCAAAAGCTACAGTTCTCTGCAAATATAGATTCTAGTGTGTTCTGAAATAAGACTTAAAACACTTAAAAACTTAAGGATGACCAGTGATGAAATATATTCACATTTTTAACCATCACTTTTATGTAGCCCATGAAATGATACAGCTCAGTGAACATTTAAAAGTTTAGTCTCTCAATGAGAAGTGATAAAACTTGACCCGTGCATGACAAGAAGAGAGCTGATTCTTTAAAGCCTTTTTGAAGAGCTACGACATTTCTCAAAACATTTCTTGTACCAAAGAATATCTTAATAAAGCAATAATCAATCAACTAACATTATGTTAGTTTTCTTATATAAATACCTTGAGTGAATGATACCAGTGAAGTTACCATCCTTTTTTCTGCAGTGCTTTTTGGGTCATTTTAATTTTAAGCTACATGCTCTTAACTTGAATTTTAAATTTCTGAATGGAATATACTTATAATAAATGATCTGAGTGACAGAGTTTGCAACACGTTTAGCATGTGCTGATTCACTAACATACACTTTCTTTCAAATTACTTTTACTAAGAGTACAGCTTTACGCTTACACTGGGGAATAAGACAATATTTCAAAAAATTTCTAAGGTAACAAAGAGGAAATGTGTATTGTGTGTGTGTGTGTGTGCGTGTGTGTGTGTGTGTGTGAATCATCTTTCAGTGTAATGAGAAATTTTATTCCACCTTATGAAAACATGAGTTTTTTTAGCATACAAACTTAAAGATCAAATTGTTAGGTTGTTCATTGTGTCCGTCTTCAGCTGTGTAATGCTAAATAGATATTCAGGTTACCATCCTATCTATTATGCATTTTTTTTGTGTTCCCACATTCTAAAATGAGTCAGATTTATTGATTTTTACAATCTAAGGAGGATAATATGTTAGCCGATTATTTTAATAATTTGTGACTTCCTGATTATTAGTGAGATTATTAGTGAGACAAACAGATCTTTGACGTATTTATTGGACATTTGAATGTCTTTTGTCAACTGTCAATTCTTATAACTAGCCTATTTTTCTATTTATTTTTATTTTATTACAATTGAATTTATCTGTTCCTTTTGCATATTGTATGATATCCCATTTTACCTGTGAGATTTGTAACTATCCTCTTCCCACCTGTGGCTTTATTTTCACTTTGCTTATGATGTATTTTATCTTATAAAAGGTTTCAGTATTAATATGTTCAAATATGTTCATTTTTCTTTTATGCTTTTGTCTTTTCTGTGTTTCTATCTTGGTGTCATCGATATAGTCTCTACATTATAATTTGAAAGTTAAATATTTGTTTATCTGATTTAAGTTATTAATCCCATCAGAAGTTACTTTTTTTGTTTTTATTTGTAGAGAAGTAGTTATCTGATTTTTTTTTTCTTTCTCTGTATGATTAGCCAGTGATTTCTTCACCATGTATTGGATAGTCTATCTTTTGCTCAGACATTTGTAGTATGCCCTATCCTAAGCTCTCATAGGTACATGAGTTGATTTTAAGGCCATCTATTCTGTCACTTTCGTTCCTGTGTCTATTCCTTAAACTATATACACTGTTTAATTTCTGTAGCTTTTTAGTAGTGGCTTGTATCAGTTAAGCTATTTCTGTATTCATTCACAACAACAAAATTTCCTTGACAGATACTGATCTGTAACTTTTCCATGGGTATTTTAGCAAAAAGTTGCCATCTTCCTTGAAAACACTAATAGGATTTGATTAGGATTGCTTTGATTTTATATATTTATTTGTAAGAGTTGCCCTAAGGACCTTTAGGCATATGAGCATGATATGTAACTTGTTTGCTTATGTCTTTTTATGGCATTCAATAAAATTATTATTTTAATCTAAAGGTCTTACCTACATATTTATTATTAATAGATTTAGTTATAACTGTCGTTGTGCTATTATAAAAATAACCCTTTAAAATCAGGTTTTCTTTTTTCTTTCTTTTCTTTTTTTTTTTTTTTGAGACAGAGTCTTGCACTGTCACCCAGGCTGGAGTGCAGTGGTGTGATCTCGGCTCACTGCAACCTCCGCCTCCCAGGTTCAAGTGATTCTCCTGCTGCAGTGTCCCGAGTAGCTGGGACTACAGGCACACACCACCACGCTCAGCTAATTTTCGTATTTTTAGTAGAGACGGGGTTTCACAATGTTGGCCAGATGGTCTCAATCTCTTGACTTCGTGATCCTCCCACTTCGCCCTCCCAAAGTGCTGGGCTCACAGGCGTGAGCCATCAGCCCCTGACCTAAAATCAAATTTTTCTAACAGTTTGCTGCAGATGTAAAGGAATATTACACAGATATATTTAGTATCCAGAAATCTTGTTGAACAATTTTATCAATTATAATCATTTATTTATTTTCTTAGATTATATGGGTAAGTGTGGATAAATTATACTTTTAATTCTTTTAATCCTTGTATAGTTTATTTTTGTGCTATTTTACTCTAGTAGATATTTTTAATACAGTGAAGACTAGAAGTTGTAAAAGCAGGATAGCAACCTCATGGGCCTATTTATTAAACAATACCAATTTATATGCTACAACTTTTTCACCTGTTATCATGAATGACAATTGATATCTAACAATGGGAACCATAAACTGTTGAGCTCTAAGTGCTTTCCCAGTGCATTAAAAAAATTAAATTGACTTTCTTTCTCACTGTTTTCCTCTACCTGTCAGAAACAACTTCTATTATTTACTCATTATCATCTTATTCCCTATTTTTTTTTAATTTTATTCAACAGATACTTACTGATTGCTCACCAATTTGCCAGGCACAGCTGGTTTTGGGGGGCATTCCATGATGAATAAAACTAGCAAGATCCCATTTCTCATGAGGCTTCTGGATTAACAAGGGAGACGTGCATTATACAGAAAACTACATAATGGTTATTTCCTTACAATCCAATGGTTAATCTGAAGCACAAGTGCAGCATGCTGTCAGAGTGCTTAGAAGATCAGAAGGGAATAGTGCTAATATATAATTTGGAAGGTCAGGGAAAGACATTTGAACTTGACCACAATATTGAGTATGAGTTCAACAGGCAAAGATGGGACCTTGAGCATGTAGAGTACTCCAGTGACAAGGGTAGATGTAAACAAAGTAGCTCTAAAAGAGTGTTCAGTGAAAAGTGATTTGCTATAAATATTACATAGGTGTGTTAAATAGAAAAAATAGAAAAATGATTGAGGACAACAAATATCTATTGAATGTCCCTATTTGGAAGGTATTTAATATATCACTCCAAATTGTTCTCTGGTTAATTAGGAAAAGAAAGTTTTACCAAGGAGAGGGCAATGGGTGTTGGTAGAAAGGTATTCAAGATCATGGTTACCTGTGTACTTGCCTCATACAAGACCTGTCGCCTGTTGGAACTTCCATCATTTTTTCTCTGGATCCATCTCTGGTAGTCTCTTTATTTTGATCTCTATTTTTCCTTGGTACCCATGAGGAACACAATTTGAATAAAAGAAAAAAATGTATTCATAATTTTAGAAATGATTTTATTGGACCCACTAACATCAGTAGGAAGAATGCAACACACTATTGGTGGTGAGCATTTTGGTTAAGACTGGGTTGGTCATTTGAATACACCCTTTCAGCCAGTATTCAGTGCAAGTCATGTGCTTGCCTAGACTTCACATTTTAGAAAAGCCGGGCCCTATATGGAGAGTTCTTGTTTGTCAGTCTCATGAAACTAAGTGCTGCAGTTTGCATTTTTCCTATTCAGTTTCAAGTATGAACTTGATTTTAAAATTTAACTATAGTTTCATTAAGATATAGTACAACTCCCAGCTAATTATGTAGATGTATCAAATATGTATTTTATTTAAAAGCCGTATTACTACTTTGCTTTTATCCACCAATGATTCTTGGATAAAAGGTGATAATAAAATGTTAATGTATATTTAGTTATATGCAAAAAAGTAATATAGAAATTTCTGAGGTGTACAATGACATACTTTATTGCTTCCATAAGCATAAGAAAACTCAGAACGACAAGCCTACACAAGCTAGGTTTCTTGTTCATACAGGGGTGGCTTGTTTTGTAACCTTTTCCTGAATAGTAGACTAGATTCTGTCTTCCTTTTATTTCCCCTGTAAATTAGTTGCAGTATTCTTGGGGTCCTTGGGGACTTCAGGTGGTTGAGCCTTTCTTCAAGCATACATACCTACTCTGTGAACAGAAGTCTAGGACTCTGGAAAGCACTGAGGGCAGAAATGCTTCCAGTCCTATCCTTACACGACTCCCCCTACCAAACTCCTCTCTTTCCTTGGGTCATGGTAGATGTGATTATTTCTTAGTGCATTAAAGATATTTCCTTTTACACTAAAGGAAGTCTAGTCAAGGTTGGATAGTGTGCAGTGGTGCACCAAAACAAAAACAAATAAACAAAAAGGGATGCATGCTCTCTCAATAGAATTTTACATGGAAATTGGGAGAAGAGAACTCCATCTTTCTAGAGGACAATAATGCACATTGACCAAAAGCAGCAGAGTGAGAGCTGAGACCCAGTCCCTGGGATCAGACCTTTCAGCCCCAGCCATGCCTCCTTTGGGCATTTGCTTTGTGGAAGACTGACAGCTCCTCAGTCAGTATGGAGGGCCAGAGACACAGGGCCGTATAGAAGCACATGTATTATGACCTGGTCATGCCACCAATGATGTGAGCTGTGCTTTTCTTTGACACTTTTCATTACTCAGTGAAAGAAGTAGAAGCCATGCTTGTCTTTTCTCTGCCCTGGAAAAGTGGTGATAACAAGGGCTCAGCCTCATGAGATCTGAGATGTAGGGCAGGCTCTGTCCACAATGCACAACTTCAGTGAATAATTAAAAATGGGGGCACTTTCTAACGCTCTAATTGGGCACACGATGAAGGAATTTCCAATAAGTTATGTTTAACCATCAAGTGACATTAAAAGAAGACACGGTTTCATCTTTATTTTATAGGTTAGAAAGTGGAGCCTTGGAGTGGGTAAGCCATTGGCCAAGGTCATAAACAAGTGTGATACGGGGCAGAGAGGATATTAAAACTTAGGAGTCCAATTCCAAACCTTGGCTCATAATGAGTACACTGTGCTGTTGTAAAAGGAGCCGTCTCTCCCTCTTTCAGGCTTAAGGGGAGAAATATTTAAAGGCATCTTTGTGAGAAAGTTTTCTGCAAAACAGAATGTGGTTTGAAAAATATGAGTTACTGTGTTAGGTTCAGATTTTTGAGACATTTTTTTAATGTAGAAGGTGTAGTATCTATAACCATTAATTTGTGTGGCACCCTCCCTTTTGTGAAACTTATTAATAAAACAGTCTGTTACTCCATCCTGCAATTCCTGTACTTCCAGTGTTCAAGTCTGCTGATCATACTGCCTAAAAAGTTCTCCCATAAACAGGAAAAGTTCCAGAAGTGACTTTATCAACAAAAACACTGCTTCTTGCTGCTACAACTTCCTGAAGTACAAGCACAGATGGACATTAATTGGAGCGGGTGTTTTGAGAGCCAGCCCTACCTGCCTCACACTGCTGAGGGATACAGAGGTCTCTATTCCTTTCTAAGCACAGGAATCAGGAAGTATCCTGGAAGCAGCTCAGAAACTCAGGGTCCTGCAGGGATGTGCATCCTTTGGAAGGGCAAGAAACCTCACTGATGAACAGAAGCCCCTCAACTTCAGACTGCAACCTCTTCTTGTGACACATGAGACATTTCTTAAGATTTCAAAACAACACTTGGTTTCCAGAGGGCAGCTAGTGAGGTCATCCTGTTTGGAGACCCAGGCTGTGTCTTATCTGTGTCAAATAGGTAATATTTTGACAGAAGTGTTTCCAACTAGCCCACCTCATACACAGAGTGTTGTACTGCATTAGTCTGTTGTCATGCTGCCAATAAGGACATACCTGAGACTGGGTCATTTATAAAGGAAAGAATGTTAATGGACTCACAGTTCAACATAGCTGGAGAGGCCTCACAATGATGATGGAATGAAAGGAGAAGCAAAGTCATGTCTTACATGATGACAGGCAAGAGAGCATGTTCAGGGGCACTTCCATTTATAAAAAGCATCAGAGCTCATAAGACTTATTCACTATTACAAGAACAGTATGAGGACACCTCTGCAACAATTCAATTATCTCTATCTGGCACCACCCTTGACACATGGAATTATTACAATTCAAGGTGAGATTTGAGTGGGGACACAGAGCCAAACCATATCATTCCACCCCTGCCCCTCCCAAATCTCATGTCCTCACATTTGAAAACACAATCATGCTTTTCCAACAGTTCCTCAAAGTCTTAACTTACTCCAGCATTAATCCAGAAATCCAACAGTCCAAAGTCTCATTTGAGACAAGGCAAGTCCCTTCCACCTATGAGCCTGTAAAATCAAAAGAAAGTTAGTTAATTCCTAGAAACAGTGGCAGTGCAGGCATTGAGTAAATACCCTCATTCCAAATGGGAGAAATTGGCCAAAACAAAGAGGCTACAGTCCCCATGCAAGTCTGAAATCCAGCAGGGTAGTCAAATCTTAAAGCTCCAAAATGATCTCCTTTGACTCCATGTCTCACATCCAAATCATGCTGATGGAAGAGATGGGTTCCCATGGTCTTGGGCATCTCCACCCTTGTGGCTTTGCAGCATATGTCCACCTTTCCAGCTGCTTTCACAGGCTGGTGTTGAGTGTCTGTGTCTTTTCCAGATGCACAGTGCAAGCTATCAGTGGATCTACCATTCTGGGTTCTGGAGGATGGTGGCCCTCTTCTCATGGCTCCATCAGGCAGTGCCCCAGTGGGGACTCTGTGTGGGGGCTCCAACTCCACATTTCACTTCCACACTGCCCTAGCAGAGGTTCTCC